GGATTTCTGCACATCTGAATGACACCCTGTCACCAGCAGTGTCTGCAGCTTAGCTCTGGTTAAGGACCAGCAGAGAGTGCTGGGTGAGGCTGGTGAAAGGGAGAGCAAGGCCCTGTTGAAGAGTTAGTTGTTGTCCTTTATTTTTGAACTCTAAAGGACACTCATTGATTCTCCTATTTCATTGATTCTTTATAGCTCACTTACTTCCAAAACTGACTCTGAGGCAGCTAAAGGATGGCTAGAACAAAATATAAAAACACATCTTCAGGATGTCTTCCCTCAGACCACAGACCTTTTTTTCTTTTTTTTTTTTTTTTTTTAAGTTAAGGAACCAAGGGATATCTTGCTAATGTGCTTTCTTTGGCTTTTTTTTTGGAATGGAGAGTGTAATCTCACCCCCGAGCTCCCCAGTTCTCTGTCTTGAATTACTTTAACTTGTTTTTCTTTATTCCATGATACTGCTTTAGAGGAACGTAAGAAATACTCCACAATGTTTATTTCCAATGAGGAATTGCTGCTGTTTAAACCTACTATGTTTGTATATTTTTCCTTTTTCCAGGATCAGAATTCAGGCCATAAATGAAATTGGAGCTGGACCCTTTAGTCAGTTCATTAAAGCGAAAACCCGGCCGTTACCACCGTTGCCTCCTAGGCTCGAATGTGCTGCGGCCGGGCCTCAGAGCCTGAAGCTGAAGTGGGGAGACAGTAACGCCAAAGCACACGCTGCTGATGACATGGTGTACACGCTGCAGCTGGAGGACAGAAACAAGAGGTGAGGTGGGGACGAGGGCGTGTGGGGAAATTCCATGGCTTTGTCTTGTGGATGACATCCTCCTTGTTGATTTGTCCTCTGAAACACTTCCTTCTTGTTCAAAGATTTCCTGTGTCTCTGGGTCCTGCATTTTTATACCATTCTCCATTTGGAATTTCTAAAGTAACATTCGAAAGATCCTGTTTCCCTACATGTGATAATATATGTGTTTGTTTTTTCTTTCATAAAGCCAATGATAATGGAGGGAAATTATCTCAAAAGTAAATTGTCAGATTCAAGTCTTCGCTATGTAATAGCGTTATGATAGTCACGAGTGCAGAGGGATGTCCGACCCAGGAGGAGATGTTACCTCTTTAAATATTCAGTAACCATTGGGACAAACATGTTTACCAATCTGAAATAGCTGTGGTGATGTACAGATGGGGATGTACTCTGTAACTATGAGCAATGCAATATCAAATTAACCAGAGCAAATAGGTTAAAAAAATTCTTTATAAGATTCCATGCCCAGGAAACACTCTTGGCCACAGAAATCAAATCCAGGCTTTCACCTAGTATTTATTTAACCTAACTTCATTTCCTCTGAAAATGGCCGATCAGAAGATAGGCAGCTGCACTGTGTTTACAAATAATTCAGATGCAGAGCAAAAGTTAATGATAACAGAATGTTCTGTTACCTACCCAAAGTCCAAATCAGAGAATCAAGTGAAGGAGGTGGGCGATCACCATAAAACCAAGATAGCCTGACAGAGCCGACACACTGCCCCTTCCCCACGGCGTACCTGCTGAAGCACAAAGCTAGTGTTAGTGTGGAAGTGTTTCTGTCATTTCCCCTTTATGCATTGTAGTATCCTGTTCATTTACATGAGGAATTGGTTTTGGTTAGCACAGAAACCCCTGTCCAGTCTCCGCCTCCTGCCCTGGACTCAAGTGCTTTGGTTCATTTCAGCGCAGTGGTGTCCTGCTGTGTGGAAGGCACTGCTTGAGGTGGGCCTGCAGTGGAGACCAAGATCAAGTAGAAAGCAAGGCCCTGTCTCCAGGAGCATAACACCAACCCACAGGCATTGAACCTTAGTGCCATTGGAGAAAAGTGCTCTGGGAGTTTGGAGAAGGCAGGCAGAGACCATCTGGTTGCAAAAATCAGGAATGGCTTTTTGAAACAGATGACATTTGAACTTGACTTTGAAGGACTTAGCAAAGGTTGACCTCCGAAGAACAAAAAGCAGTTGTCCTATTGGAAACTTGTCCTGGTGTAGAAAGCACAGAGGAAGTAAGGCTTCTTTTAGTAGGTTCATTAGAGATTAAATGCATCTTCACTACTGTGCTGTGTGCCCTTGGATGCGTTTTCATGGACTCATTATTTTACTGGCAGGGAACTCCTCAACTGGAGAGGGCTGGCAAGAACAGGACTTATGAACTCACAGAAATCATGATAAATATATAGAACTAGCATTTGGGGACATTTCTGAACAAGCCTTTATGTTTTTTCCTGGGCATTTGGCTTCCGTTGACAGTAGAGAGAACTTCCCTTAGACAATATCTTTTAGTTGTACTGTTTTAGAAAAGTGAAGCCCAGAAATGTTGTTGAAGCTGGTGGCAGAACTGGGATCAGAGGCAGCGCCTCCTGACTCCCCATGCAGCTGCCTCTACCATCACCTCCGGGACTGTGGGGGGAGTGATGGCTCTACAGCAACCAGCCGACCCCGTCTTGCTGCAGCCCTGCCCTGTGCGGGGCCGCCGCCTAAGGTGCTTCAGAGAGAGAGCTGTACAAGTGCGTGCTCAGAACAAAAGCTCCATGAGCACTAGTCCAAATGAGTGTGCTGTTGTGAGACATTTAAATATGCCAGACAGCAGAGAGTGCAGAATCTGGTAATCAGTACGTGCTCTTTCCTCCAAAAAAAAGCCCGAAGCTGGCCTTGTTAATCAAATAAATGACTTGCCTAAATTTAAATGGCAATTTAAGAAAACTTAACCGTTAGGAACAGTATTTTTCTTAATTTTCTGAGCTAGAGTCCAAATTTATCTTTTTTAAATTAGATTTGTCAGTGCTCTCAGAAAATTATTAAAGTGATGGGAATATAGAGCATAATAAATTCTCATTCTATTTGTGGAATAATTTTCCTGGGATTTAATAGGATGAAACTTGGCCTAATTTGAGTTTGAAGGTGACCTTCCTTAGTGTCTTGAAACTGAACTCTTGCAGTGAATGGCCCCTTGAAGCCAAGCTTTTGGCTTCAGGTCTTGACTCCTGAGGATCAGGGAGAAATCATTCGAGTGGGATACATCGTAATACTTGCTATTAGCGTAGCCTTTGTCAATTCTAGTCCCTTTAAGATCCTTTAGGACTTGGCCCTGGCCTGTCCAGTTGAAAGGAACAATGTCTTCTTCCAAAGCGGCACCTCCCTTTTCCTCGAACATGTTGCTGGGGTGGTTTCTAGTTGTGGCTTTAGGGAAAAGCGCCCATATTCTTTAGCATTTGCTTTGTTTTCATTAACTGCTAATAAGTTCTTTTTATGAATGTGGCAGAAATATTGCACGTCCTGCTGTGGCCAAGGTAAGAACAAGAGATAGATTGAATTTTGGTTTTAATTTACTTTCCTAGCTAGTGACTGTGGGCATTTGAAAGGAGAGCTGCCGGTGTCTGGGTGGTAGAGCTGTCCTAACCAGCTATGGAAGTAATGTGAGTCTTAAAATGTATTTTGCAACAGAAGCACAATGAAAATTAATAACCGCATGGTTGGTAATTGTCAGAGTAAAGAGTTAAGTCAATTTTGGCTGCTAAACTATTTGTCTTACTTTTTCCTCATCCATAAAATACAGGTTGAATTAGAAGATGGGCTCTGAGCTCTTTCCTACCTTTTTCACCTTAAAGCAACAATCATTTGTAGGTCATTTATGAGCTTAAACTCTTTACAAAAAGATGTCTCTTGTAAATGATTAGGGCGTGTTCTCTCTCTCTCTCTCTCTCTTCATATTTTAGCTTCTGCTTTTGACAAGTAAGGAAATAATAAGAAAGAGACTGACGTTCCACAAGACTGACCATTTAATGTCCAAAAGCCCTAAGGTTTTGAGTTTATGATGTACTGGTTTATTATTTTATTTATGTAACTCTTAATCAAGAAATCTGAAATGGCCCAAAGATCTCTAAGTATAATGTTTGGCCAAAAATATATTTTCAAACTTTGTAAAGTAAACTTCTATTTCTTGAGCACCTACAAAGTGCCAGGCTTTGAGAGCTTTTGTCTACATTATTTAGTTCTTGAATAAAAAATGAAATATTTTCTGTCATGATAGGATTTCTACCGAAGCCCTTACCATCCAGGTGAACAAATAGGTTGTTTCTGATAAATTGACTTGATTTTAACTTATGATTATCAGGAGTTTTATACATGCAAAGAAAGGAACTGTGCTTAAGTATTGAATAGACAGAGATGACCAAGATGGATCCCTGTCCGTAAGGAGCCCCCAGTCTGGTGGGGGATGGGTGCAAGACACAGATACACTCAAGCAAATCTTGATGTGGAGGCTTAGAGATTGACACGTGCACAGAGTGTTGAAGGAGGATAGTAGAATGGCTTCTTTGTAGGCTTAAAATTCAATGAACAGAGAAGGCTTCTCAGGGAAGTGTTGTAACAGCTTGGGTGAGACTTAAAAGGTTTCCAATCGTATAATCTCCTGCAAGAGAGCCTTAGGATGGAGACTAGTGATAAGGACTCAGGATTGGTTGGAAACCAAGCATACAAGCCCCAAAGGACAGAAACGTGCCTTGGCTCTTTCTCCAAGGAAATGCCTCTTTTGTTCTGGTACTTTTACACTTGCATCTTTTTTAAAGTTTGGGGCTATTCCCTGTAAATAGAGGGGATCCCAAAAGGGCATCTTGCCCAAATCCTTGCCTCAAGGTAAATCGACCTAGAATTCATCTGGATTACCCGGACTTGGTATGTTGAAAGGTTTTTTCACCTTGAAGAGGACGTTTGTTTCCCATATGTTCAAGCTTTTGACCCACAAGGTTCCCAGTCCAAGGTCACTAACTGCGACTACATATTTATGTCTCAGCCTCAAAGCAATGCTGTGTATTTGTAGGACTGAGTTTATTTCTAGCAATTAGATTATGATCATTCAATCAGTGATTGTTTTTCTTGAATTGCTACAATGTGCCTAGGTCTTATGAGGTATGTGACTTACCTATAGGAGCTTTCTTGCTGAGAAAATAAATTAACGTGAAACAATGAACAGACGGCACAAGAGATTTTATTTAATTTCAACAGAAAAACAAAAATTCTATTAGTTTGGCCATAGCGTGATTAAGTCTATTATTCTTAGCAGATCTGGCACAGAAGATCCAAATGTCTTTGGTTCCTGTGTATGCAAGAAAAATAGATACCCAAAGTAAACATTTTTGTAATGCTTTGTTAACCTAATGCAGGGAGTAGAATAGCAAGATCAGCTCATACATTTTAAGATTGTAATTCTGTACTGATAATTCTGAAGACGCATTTGTCTGTGTTACTGAAATGAAGTGTTATGCTACCCTAACAGAATTTGAGTTGATGTTGATTCTCATTCTGACCCTTGTGGTCCATGTTCCCAATAATTGTACACAGCACTGAGGCGAGAGGAACTTAAGTTCCAGGAATGCACTTTTGGTTAATCTGTTGTTCAGGTTCAGTCAGACAGCCGGTGTATTTTAAAGCAAGGCTCCAGCAAAATGAGGATGGGGGGAGGGCTCCAATAGAGTGGGTAGTTACCACTTGCTCTCTGTTAACTCTGCCCTTATGCCCAGGACATTTTCCCTTCACCCAGCAAAATCAGAGCAGCTTTGTAATGTGTATAGTATGACTGCCTGTTTGCTGTTGGGGACAGAAAATAATCTGCATAAAGGAACCCAGAAAAAATACACACTAGGTAACTAATAAAAGCATGAGCACTATGGGAGGAGTGTATTTTCTCAATGTATACCACTTATAGAACAAAGTCCTGCTTATATTGCTCGGGGCATATTACTGAATAATATGCAGTTATTCATATTGTTGCATATGGATAAAGAGTTTCATCAGTAGCTATAGTGACATTTTATTTCTTAGAAAAGGAGCATAAAAAGGAACATAACCAAAAAGTATTGCAGCCTATGGCTCACAAACCAAAGGGTCCATATGCAGCTGAGGACATAGGAGGAGGAAATTAACTCCTTTCCTCATTGGTCTTTTGGAAATTGCTCTTGGCGTTTTTGTGCTCAGTCTGCAAACAGGGACTCTCACCAACATCAAAACTCGTTTAGCAAATGTATCTTCCCTGCCTCAGGTGCCCCCACATGATGCCATCTGCTTCCATTTGCTTGTGCATAGACATGACAGGACTCAATGTTTTGTGTGGAGTGAGGGCACATGCTGTCCTTTCCTGTTTTGAGCATCCTCCGTGCCCAAACATCACGTTAGTAACATAGGAAATTCACACACACACACACACACAATCCATGGAGCCCAGAGAAATTAAGAAAAAAATAAAGGCAATGACATGTCATTGTTAAGGAATAGAGCTGTACTGAGCTTACTAATAGCTGTTGATTTGTGATATTGTGAAACATGTTTTGAAACATGCCATGTGAAGCCTTTACTGGATTAGGTCATTTTAGGTCAGCAGGTTAGATCATTTTGAGGTGTTAATGTTAATGGGCTGCTGTTGGCCTGTAGTGGGCCTAGAGACTACAAGATAGCAACAAGGTAGTAAACACAAAATGCTTAGCAGTATCTCTTATTTATAAGCCATCCAGAGCATTCTTAGATGTTTGTTTTGAAACAAACTGTTTTAAGAAAACATATTTTAAAATTAAATTCTTTATACGTTATTATTTTCCTCTGAAATGATTTAAAATAAACATTTAAAGATGAAACATGTCTGAATTTCTTCCTTCAGTTGCACTTTAGTGCAAAAATGTCATCTTTCATAATGTTAAATCCTAATACTGAGGTTAAAAGTATAGCCTTCCAGGGCCAGCCCAGTGGTGTAGTGGTTAAGTTTGCACGCTCTGCTTCAGCAGCCCAGGCTTCACGGGTTCAGATCCCACACACTGCTCATCAAAACCATGCTGTGGTGGTGACCCACATGCAAAATAGAAGAAGATTGGCACAGATGTTAGCTCAGGGCCAATCTTCCTCACCAAAACAAAGAATATGTATAGCCTTCCCCTAGAATTCTTAAAAATGTCAAGAGTCTGTTGTTTTGCCTTCCTAGGTTATAATCAATACGGAATTGTAGAACTTACTTGGTCCTTTCATTTGGATCTCATAAAAATCCCTGCCAGGTGAATAAGACAATTACTATTATCCGAGGTATCTGGACTCAGCCTGGAGAGTTATTGACTCATTCAAGTTTGTAGTGAAGGTAACAGACTCCTCATTGTGTTCAAGGTCTTTGTACGTCCATGTACCTCCATGGAGTACTCTGAGAGGCTAGCAGAATAAGCAGAATGCTTTTGTATTCACAGATACATAGAACATTTTTTAAAATCACTGATGTGGGCCAACATTAAAACCCACTGAAGGGTTTAGTTTCAAGAAGACGTCATAGTCAAAACTAAAGCAGGTTGTGACAGAGCCGTAAAGGATTCATTTAGACTGTAAACTTTCAGTGACCCACCCAACCTTCTACCTTGTTTGTGTTTTCCCTTCCAAGTAAATATTTTTAGCACAAGAGAGCATTTCTCCCTATTTTTCCTTTCCCTAAGTAAAAATGGCCAAATTTGCATTAATGGACAGCACTTCTGTAGGACCAGCTGCTCCCATCTTGGTCTGATTTCAGCAGCAGGTCTTGGCCTGGGTTCACCAGGGTCGGATGAGTGGTACGCACGTGCACAGCTTTCTATCCAACTCAGGAAAGCCTGAGGGAATGTGAGTGAAAGGGATGCCATTCTGGGGACATCTTCCAGGCTTCTCCACTCTTGAGAAATGACGTAAATCATTCATGAACCTTGGTGCTTTGTTATTAATAACATTAATAGTATTAACAGTAACAGCTAATGTCTATCAAGCATTCACAAGTGCTAGGCATTTTGTAATGGGTTCTCTCTGCTGTTGTCCCATTTGATCTTTATAACAACCCTCTGAGGGGCAGTCGCCATTACACCCATTTTACAGAGGAAGGAACAGCTTTCCTGGCTATAGAACCCAAGATCACTAGGCTATTGAACCTGAACTCAAATTCAAGTCTGCTGACTGCGAAGATTGTTAATACCCACTGTACCTTCAGCCCCTGCACCAGTGGGTGGAACCCCACAGGTGTTTGCACACCTGTCCTCTTGGTTTTCACAGGAGCCCTGGGTCATGGGGCTGATCCCTCCAAAGGTATGTGGCCATGGGCAGCAGGGGTTGAGGATGGAGTAGAAGACCCCTCAGAGGCACCAGCAGTGTGGGCCCAGGGCTCCAGGGTGACCTCTAAGGAGCTATGACATCACAGGGGATCCCTGTGGCTACATAAGCCCCAGCCTGAACTGAGAGTAAAATTACTCAGTGACTTTAAGGAGCATGTGCTACATTTCAGGAAACATGCCACCTGTTATATATTTCATTGTGGTTTTGTAGCACAGGAGCATTTGTGTAATAAAAATAAGAGTGAACATTTCATTTTTACTCCTTGGTCACCAAATCCACTCATTTTGGGGAAAACTGTATGTCCAGCACAGGCCATAACAGATGCAGCAGAACTTCAGAGATTCAGATGGGCCTATTCCTGCTGGGACATAAGCCAGTCATGGCCCCAGTAACCTGGAGACAGGCCTGCGTGGCGGGAGTTGAGAGCCACGGTCGTCCTCAGGTTCCCTTAGCCTGACTGGGATCCCCGAATGGTGATCTGCGGCCGTCCTGGTACAGAGTCCAGAGCCACTGATACCATATATTGAACTTGTACTCTGTGTTGGGCTCAGTGCTAAGCTTTTTATCCCCGTTTCTGCATTTGATTCGTAAAACAAGCTGTGCAGTGGATGCTGTCCCCGTTTTGCAGATGGGAGGAACTGACGCTTAGCAGGGGCAAGTGCTCTGGCAGTAGGGGGCAGAGCTGAGATTGGCGTGCAGTCTTCTGGGTCCACCTCTTCCCGCCAACAGTGTCGGGGAGGGGGAGAAGGGAAGGGTGACCCAGGCTTTACAGGCACCACAGACCAGGGGAGCGTCCCAGGAAAGCAGACTCCCCACACGGTGCGTCTTTGTTGCGGGGGCCACACTCACCCCCACAAAGCGAGGGATTGAGGTCTCTGTGAGAGTTTTGTTTACCGTCTCCTGCTGGTTATGTAGGCATGTCAGCTGCTCTAGGTCCTCCCCGTTCCCAGCTGGTTTCTTCCCATTCCAGGATCTTCTCCCTTCCCCCAGGCGTAGGGCCATGCACGCGAAGTAGTTTGGATCAGCGCCTTCGAGACAGCAGGACTGCTGTCAGCCCCTAGTGAGACTCATGCGCCGGGGCCTGTGGTGCATGAACACGGGTGGGGTGCATGAACACGGGTGGGGTGCATGGCTGCTGCCCTCCTCTCTGGCGAAGCCGCGCTCTCAGCTCTGAATCCTGGGTTGCATTTAAAACGTGGAGCCTTCAATCATCGTGTCTTAGGACAAGTAGCATATTTAATTCTGTCACCAAAGGCCTCTGACTTACCAATTAATGAATTTTACAATGAAGTTGGTCTTTTAAAAAAAAAAAAAAGATTTAGGAGAGAGAAAAATTTAAGTTGGTCTTTGTAAAACAAATATTTTATGAATATTTTTAATCTCTCCCTGAGTGGCTCTAGCCACAGGGTGTTGACTTACGGAGCCTCCTGGAGAGGCCACTGTGCAACTGGCATAAATCCCAGGCTCAGGAGAAGGAAGATTCTTTCTTCTCCTGCCTCTTGGAATGATAGAAAATAATTACAGGATTGGGGTGACAGAGAGATTCTGTTCTTTTTGTGTTGGCTTGTGTGTTTATTTGGTTTGGGTTGGCCTAATTGTTTGAAACAGAAGTTACTGTCAGCATATACGGAAGGAGATTCAGGGTCAACGGCTTTCATTTGAGGCCCGCTCTGTAGGGGCTCGGGCTCGTACACGAGCTATCAAGTGAATCCCACTGTATGGGGAGGTCTGCTCGCCCACGCTTCACTGACGGGTCCCAGTGTGAGAGGGCGGACAGCCCCACAGCTGGTGTCCCAGGCTGGCGCCAGGGCCCGGTCTGCAGGGCAGCCTCGCTCCCTCACAGCCGACTTCCCACCCAGGAGAAAAGAAAATAACCTCAGTGTTAGCCGACAGTGGTATAGATGGCCTCTCAGAAGGGAGACTGGGGTTTCTTTTTTAAAATCCTGTCTTCTCAGCATTATAAAATGATTACAGTCATGCACCACATAACGACAGACCACACATGCAACAGTGGTCCCAGAAGATTAGTACCATACAGCCTGGGTGTGTGGTAGGCTGTACCATCTAGGTTTGTGTAAATACTGGAGGGAAGGAAGACATTTTCCTCTACTCTTCTAGGTTCTTCTGGCTGATCTAAGGTTTAAATTGACATGCGACAGATTAACAGAAGAAAAACAAAAGTTTAATAATTTGAATACATGGGAGAAATTTAAGAAAACTGAGTAACTCGCCAAAATGGCCAAAGCCTTCACCTTAAATCCCATCCTTAGCTAAAGACAGAAGATGTTGGGGGTGGGGAGAGTCAGGGACTTAAGAGAGAAGGAAGGCAATTCACAGGGAGGTGGAAAGGAGCAAACGTTTGGAAAACAAGAGTTTGCCCACACAGAACCAGAAGAACACAGATGGGAGCCCAACAAACAGGCTTTTTGAGGTTGCTTCCTGTCTACCACCTAGTTTGTGTTATGGTAAGGTGATAGCTTGCTTCCTGGAACAGATTTTTCTTAATCTGATTTCTTTTAGGTGGTTAAGGGGGAGGTAACAAAAAAAAAAACTTTTAAGTCTTTTGTTTCTTAAAAATAGTCATCCTTGGGGCTGGCCCGGTGGTGTAGTGGTTGAGTATGCACGAGGTCCAGGGTTCACAGGTCTGGATCCCTGGCATGGACCTAGCACTGCTCATCAAGCCACGCTGTGGCAGTGTCCCACATAAAACAGAGGAAGACCTGCACAGATGTTAGCTCAGGGCCAATCTTCCTCACAAAAAAAATCGTCATCAGCAGCAGCAGCAGCCTAAAACAGTCTTCATGTTAATGAGATGTTTGGGGTTGGCAGATTTTGTTCTCCTTCAGTACACTCTGTGATGTTTGCACAATGACAGAAGCACCTAACGACGCATCTCTCAGAACGTATCCCCAGTATTAAGTGACACACGACTGTTTAACACATATTGAGTGCTTATCACATGTCATGACTGTTCTAAGCACTTCTGTTTTATTAACCCATTTAAACCTCACAACAGCTCTGAGGTAGCTTCTGTCATCATCTTTATTGCACAAAGGAGAAAACTGAGGCAGCAAGAGGCTGAAGAAGCTGCTGGCGTCTCAGTCTGCAGTGCAGTTCTGGTCACAGGACCCGTGTTTACTGAGAGCGTGTCAAGTACCAGATGGGCGTAGAGAAACATACAACCAATGTTACTGCTTATTAAAGTTTTCAAAATTAAAACCCTTGAAACCCTTAAAATTAGACTGAAAGTGCCAAACTGGCTGTTATCATAGGAAGATATTTTCAGAAGCCTAAAATTGACGGGTGAAATTTTATGAAGGATTTTCTGATTGATAAGCTGACTTATATGTAGAGCTTGACTAGAATCTGTATACTTATGTGTTTCAAAATTTCTTTGTTAGGAGAGTAAAATAACATGAAATTAGAAATAACTATGATAAATATGATTTCCATAAGAAGTGTGGATACCGAGTCTTTCTCATCTGTCACCCCGCAGTCTTATTCTTACAGTTCTCTTTCCACTCTTCCCTCTTTTATTTCCTTAAGAAGCAGAGGGGGGACCTTTCAAGTGAGAGAAGTATGGACTTTTAAACAATACGCAGACTTGCCCTCTGTCTGTAATGGCTCCTTCTGGCTCTCGGTCACACATCAGAGCGAGATGATTTGGGGAAAGCCCTCAGAAGGCAGTGGGGTCAACTGTCTTGCTTCATTGCTCAGGTCCTTCTGACCTTGGGCCTGTGCGTCCACCTTAGGACACAAGCTCCAAGAGGACACAGTGCATCTGTTTCTCCAGATGGGCGTTTGGTGTGGGAGTGACACTGTTGATGCTTGGCTGTCTGGGAATGTTTCTCCGAAAACCCTTAGGAATCCTGACGTCTCTGCTCCCCACCCCAATCTCCTTTCACTCAGGAGAGAGCCTGTGTCGGGCCCGTCACCTTCCTCCCTCCGTTTCCTGACAGCTCTGTACCTGGTTCATTACGTGACACAGGAATTGGCCACAATATATTTTGGGTATTCCCATACACATTTTGAGAACAAAGTGAGAGAACCGTCCTCCTCGCCAGGATTTCTCCCGGTACCTTTTGTTAGGGGAAGGAGGTCAGACAAAGCAGGGATGGCTTTCATCAGAGCAGCAAGCAGAGTAGACAGTTGGCTAAATCAAAGGCCTGGTCAGACACCTGCTTATTCTAAAAGAGACTGGAAGGGGAAGAACTACCCATTTCCCTCCTGTTCTCAGTGCTCGTCTGCTGGGAGCACCAGGCTGCCCGTTCCTGACTTCCTGTCCAAGGGAAATCCCAGCCACAGGCGGGCCTCCTGCAGCTGCATGAAGCCACTGTCCCTGAATGCAAGGTGCTTAGACTTTAACCTGAAATCCTCTGAGCAGATGCCCCTTTCAGAACCTCCAGTCACACTAGCTTTTTTCTAGGAGCAAATGCAGCCTTTCCTGTATTTCTAAGTAGCACTATCCCAAGATTGCAGACAAATGCTCTAATAGCAAAATTTTAAAGTTCTTTATTACCATGACCTCTTTCCACAGTGCTTTTTATAAATTGGAATGCGATTTCAAAAGATTAATAAGATGTTGTGGTGAAAGAGCAAAACAAGTTAAAGGAACAAGATAGCTCATCCAGAAACAGCAGGTTTTGATGTATTTGGAAATTGACACGTGCTATTTGCTCAGTTTAGACAACACACACAATTAGAGGCTGACTTGGCTTCGGTCAGTGTCTCTGTGACTGCAAGTGCGACTGCCTCCATAGGTGTATTGAACTTATGTTCAAAAGGAAACACTCTCCTTGGAGCAGGGCACCCAGGGAAGTGGTGCTCTTGCTAGTAGCCCTCTGCAAACTCCATTAAAAGCTGAGTTTTATTGCAGGTTTGTCATGAAGATCTGACACTTTTACTTCTTAAACTGTAACGTCCATTTTGTGATATAATTTAGGACAATTACTCCGGTTAGAGATTCTAGCCCAGGTGAGGCTGAGTTAATAAATAGCTGTTTGCCTCCAGCATTAGCAAGGGTGTCTTCATTAAGGTGCTGATACGTCAGGAGCGCTCGATGGGTTGCCATGGTATTCGTGGGTTTCAGCCTAGACTCTGGCTTTCCCTGAAATTAAGAACGTTCAGCCTTCAGTCAAAGGTGCTTCCTTACACAGCAAAGCAGAAGGAACATTAAGTAGGTGAAATGACCAGGGCTCAGGAACTCCACTGCAAAGGCTGATGAGCACGTGGATATTTTAAAATAAGTATTGACTCTGACAGGTTTTGTAAGCAAGTTGTTTAATCTCCGT